GGATTGCTTTTGTCTTCAGGAGTTCCCACAGAGGCCCAATTCAGATGAGGGTCAGATGTTTTCAGGCTTTCTCCTAAGGTCTGAATCTCTCCAGGAACGATTTTGGCTTCAGGAATTTGGGGGTCGGACTGGCCTGGGAGCCTGGCCCAGGAAAGATGCAGGTCTAGGGCAGCTGGTGGCCATGCCACCCAGAGATGCAAAGGCAGATGGGGCGTGAAGAGGCCCCAAAGACTCCTGGGGACTGCACTGAGGAGCTGTGTTGGTCTGGATGCAAAGGATCAGGAAGAGGAAAGGTCAGCCCCCGATTCCCAGAAAAAGGCTCATGGTTGGTGCAGTCCCAGGGAAGCAGAGACCAGTATTTTTTAATTCATTCAACCAATCTGTATCATTTCACTGGATAAGATCACTTTCTCAGAACTATGAATGAAAGATATTTTCTTGATTTTCTTCTGTTTTGAATATTGTTTGATTCTTCCTCCATTATTCACAGTCATCTCTGTGATCTGAAGGTTTAGTGTATTGATAATGTTTGATTTTTAAATTTCTCACCTGTGTACCTACTTTTCTAGTGGAATTTATATTTTGTATGCTGTCATGACAATTGTTATCTTCTTCTTCCGGGTATAGGATTCTCTTGAAAGTATCTTTTTTTTAACCACTCTTGTGGTCATGAGTTCTCTTTGTTTTTATTTATCTTGGAAGATTTTTTTATTCCTCCTTCATTCTAAAGGATAGCCTTGCTCAGTGTAAGATTGACTGACAGTCATTTTCTTTCAAGTCTCGAATGCATTGTTCCATGCCTTTCCAGACAGTCCAGTTTCTGCTGAGAAATCTGCTATTTGTCTAATAAGGCTTCCCTTTAGTGTGACTTGTCACTTTTCTCTTACAGCCTTTAAACTACCTCTGGTAATGATGAGATGGCTCAGTGGGTAAGAGTACTTGCTTTGAAAGTAAAAAGACCTGAGTTCAAATCCTCAGCACCAATGTAAATCTAGACATGGCTGCACATGCCTGTAACCACGTTGGGAGATGGAAACAGGAGGATCCCCAGAGCTCGCTGGGCAGCTAGCCTAGCTGAAACAGAAAGCTTCATGGTCAAATGAGAGATCCTATCTCAAAAAGAGGAAAAAACAAACGAGGTGGGGAATGACAGAGGAAGATATCAACATTCTCCTCTGGCCTCTATATGCACATGTCCAGGCATGTGTACCTGCATATCTCTCTCTCTCTCT